ACTGGTGGAATACTAAGCTTTAGCCCTCGAAGTCTGTTTGCTATTCTTCCTGAATTCCGAATTGTAAAGGCCCTCAAAGTCCAATCCCAACCCTTCCTTCATTTTTGACGGAGGCATAAACTTATCTACCTCCGGGGGGCATAAACTTATCTACCTCCCTTATTTTTAACAGGTAGCATAAACTTATCTACCTCCCTGTAATGTGGGTCTATTACACCCGGGGGTGTTCTCCCCCCCCTTTTTTTTCCTTTTTTTTTTGAAGAAATCTACAGAACAATGAAATTGCAAAGGCACTTGGCTTTAGAGGAAAGAAAATCTTATTGAAACAGATATCTTAAACTCAAAAGTAGAATGCTTTACAAAACAATTTTACTGATAAAATTTGACCAAGTGCTCTACATTCCACGTCCTATCAATTTCTTTTCCCTTTGGAGTCACCAACTTGTAGGTACCTGGGCGAACAACGGCCTTGATGATATAAGGTCCTTCGTATTTCTTAGCCAGCTTCCCACCCTTTGTTGGTTGACTTTTCTCTCGCTTCCTCGGGACGTAATCTCCCACCTGGAATGCCCTCGGTTTCACCCTACTGTCAAAGTAGGATTTCACCTGGCGACGATAATTCTCTGCCCGGATCCGTGCTTCATCCCTTCGTTCTTCTATGAAGTTCAGCTCTATGGCCTGATCCTGTTCGTTCACTTCCGGGTCATATTCCATTTCTCTCCTGGTAGGGATCACCGTCTCAGCTGGAGCCCGGGCTTTGAAGCCATAGGCTAAGCCAAAGGGAGTGTCGCCCGTAGCCCTCCTTGGAGTTGTCTGTACGTGCACAAGATTCTGGGTAGTTCATCCACCCATTTGTTTCCTTCTGAAAGTAGCTTCTATTTTATTCCACTTATGATTGTCCTGTCTTGTCCATTTTCCTGAGGGTAGACTACAGACACCTTCGTTGTTGAAACATGGATTCGTCACGTTTTTCATACTAAAGCCGTGTACGTTTTTGTAACAGGTTTTGATAATGCCAAACCGCCGTGATCAAGACAAACATTGAATATACAAGGCGAAGAACGAAGATAAAGAACAAGATCTAAAAGAGACCAAGAACGAAGACCGCAGTCTTTAGTATTGTTGAGTCGGTCATAATTGTGATCAAGACCGACCCAGCCCTCACGCATTGGCTCTTTAGGCTAAAATCTTTTATCACATCATAAAAATGTTTTTCAAACATCTTTAATTCATTAAAAACACTTGGTGTTCGCCCAAACTAAAAACCAAGCCATCCAGCGTTCGGGTTTCAGAAACCGGCGTTCGGCTTTCGGTTATCGGCATTGGTTTTTGGCGTCCGAACCAACCAAGTGGTTTTCACCTTTTTATGATTGGTTTTCACTCTTTGGCATGTTTAAACGGTTCTCCAACAAAAACACTTTGAAAACCATCTCTCGCTTTTGGTCGTTTGACAAAAACCATGCAAAACGGCGTAAACTTGGCTAGCCGTGGTTTTTACTCAAATGAATTGGTTTTTAAAGTAACTCACTTGATTTCTTAGCCAAATACATCAAATAAGTGTTTCAAACACTTGGTTTTTATTTTGGAGAACTTTGGATTTTTCGGTCGGTTTTTGCATCGGTTGGCTAGGCCGTGGTTAAGGCAAAGACCATGGGTCTCTGGCTAACCACCCACCCAGCGATGGGAAGATCTTCCCATCGATGGGTAAGCGGTCCCTAAGCCAAACCAACTTCCAGAACCATGCCAAACAGCGATGGGGAGTTCTACCCATCGCTGTTAAAGCCTTGGTGCAACATTAACACAAGGCAGAACGACCTTGCCCAGCGATGGGAAACCTATCCCATCGATGGGGACCCAGCGATGGTAAGGTTAAACCATCGATGGGAAGGCATGACCGTTGGTAGTCATTTAAGGTTGATTCTTTCTTTGTTTGGAAGTCAACCTCCCACCCAGCGATGGGAAGCTTGTACCCATCGATGGGTAGGCAACCGTTGGCTTCAAAACTGAAGGAAAATTGGCTTACCAGCGATGGTTGAGTCTAAACATCGATGGGAAGCCAATATCCTGCAGATCCTTTTTTTTAATCAACCCCATAAATCAAGCAAATCACCCCTTTAATGCATTGGTCCGTTGGAGCCTATTTTGGCACTATAAAAAGGGGTGTTTGGGTCTGCTTTTCATACCAATTCACTTCACATTATTCATATTATCATTGCATTCAAACAACATTTTCCATAGCTTTCTAGAGCCAATTTGTGTGAAGTTTGAGTTGTTCTTGAGCGTACTTAGTTTACTCATCATCTACTCTTAAAGAGAGTCTTGCTCTTGAGTGCTTAGTGTTGTATACACGTTAAGGGAAGCTTGTTTCCCTTGATTGTACGAAGGAAAGGTATTTTCCTTCGGGTTGAAGTCTTGGAGTGCGGTATCTCCGAGCAAGTGTTGTTGAGGCTCGTGGGACTCGAGTTCTCAGGTTGTAACGGTTTGTTAAGCACCCGTAAGCTTAATGGAAGTAGTGTAGCTCGAGAGAGTCTCTCGGGAGACTTGATTAGCCACACGTTGTGGTGAACCAGTATAAATCTTGGTGTGCTCCCTTTACTCCTTTTTATTCCGCTCTTTACTTTATCCCTGTGATTTTTATTCCGCGAAAATTTATAAACATTCTCGTGCCTCAGTATTCATCCCCCCTCTAGTGAAGGGCACTTATTCTAACATTCGTATGCTGATTCCCCCAAGTTTTGAGGAAGTCTTGGAACTCTGCCTCCTCAAACTGGGTTTCGTTGTCGGATATGATTTGCTTCGGGACCCCAAACCTACAAAGTATGTTGGTTCCCACGAAGTCGATCATTTGTCTCCCTGTGATCCCGGCAAGTGGCTCAGCCTCCACCCACTTGGTGAAATAGTCTATGGCCACCACTATCCATCTTGCCTATCCAATCCCTTTCGGCAAGGCACCCACAATATTGATCCCCCACCTGGAGAAGGGAATTACTGAACTGATGGGCGTGTAGTTCGTGGCTGGCCTCTCGGGCATGTTTTGAAATTGTTGACAGGTTGGGCACTTGCGCACATACTCCTCGCAGTCCTTCCTCATTGTTGGCCAGAAATATCCCTGGACAATCGCCCTTCTGGAGATAGAGTATGGACCCTGATGTGCAGCACATACTCCTTCGTGTATCTCTTCCATTAGTGCCTTCGCCTTCGCTGCCCTGAGGCAACGGAGTAAAACACCATTGTAAGATCGGTTATATAGGACTCCATCGTGTACCTGGTAGGTGGGTGCCCTCATTCGTAGCAAACGGGCTTCTTGGGGGTCCTCTGGGGCTACACCGTCCTCAATGTATCTGGCCAATCTGTCCAACCATTCTGGGGGATCACCTGACACCCAGAGCAACTCATCCCTATTGAGACTCGGAATTGCCAGTTCCTCCACCGTTGCTAATTTGCTTATATATTCTGGCGATTCTGCGCTGAGCTTGGACAAAACATCAGCTTCTGCGTTTTGCGCCCAGGGTATATGTTCAAGCTTAAACTCGAACCTTCCCAACATTTCCAAGGACAAGTGTCGATACCGCTTCATCCTTTCTTCTTTTGCTTCGAACTCCCCAGTGATCTGTCCCACCACCAATCGGGAGTCGCTGTATACTTGAACCCTGGACACTCCCAACTTGCCAAGAATCTTCAATCCGTTGATCAGAGCCTCATATTCAGCTTCATTGTTGGATACGCGAAACTGAAATCTGATAGCGTAATATATCCGGAAATTTTCCGGAGTGATCAAGACAATACCTGCTCCGCAAGATCGAGACCCAGAAGATCCATCAATACTCATCATCCACCAGTCGTCTTCCACCCGGGTCCCGGCCTGGGCTCTTGTCATCTCCCTGGCAGTACACTCAACCTGAAAGTCGGCGAGTGCCTGCCCTTTGATTGATGGACGCGGCCTGAACTCCACATTGTACTGACTGATGAAGACCGCCCATTTGGTCATCCGGGCAGATGCCGCTGGACTCCGGGTAAGTGACGCCAAAGGCTCATTGGTGAGCACCACAATCCGGTGAGCCTGAAAGTACGGAGTTAATCTCTTACCGCTAACATGGCCTTCTCTGGACGGGAATACCTTAACTCCGCATCTCTCAAGGTCTTGCTGACGTAGTAGACCGGATGTTGGGCCCCATTCTCTTCCCTCACAATCACAGAACTGATGGCACAATCTGCAATCGCTAAGTATAAAGTCAGGACATCCCCAGGTCCCGGCTTGGATAAAACCGGGGGACTTGCCAGATATCTCTTCAGTTCTTCAAATGCTTCCTGACACTCTTGCGTCCATTCGAAGGTCGCCCTCTTCTTGATTATAATGAAGAATGGGTGTGCCTTCTTCGCCAGGTTTGAAAGGAAACGATTTAAGGCCGCCAGTCTCCCTGTGAGCCGCTAGACTTCTTTCGCTATCTTCGGTGGTTCCATCTCCATGATGGCCCTAACTTTCTCCGGGTTCGCTTCAATCCCTCTCTGGCTAACCATGTGTCCAAGGAATTTTCCACCTTGAACAGCAAAAGTACATTTCTTCGGATTCAATCTTAAATTCACCTTCATCATGATTTCAAAGACCTCTTCAAGGTCCCGGACGTGGTCTCGGGCCTCTTTGGACTTGACAATCATGTCATCAACATAAGATTCCATGGTTCGCCCCAAGACGGCTTTGAACACCTGAGAAACCATCCGGGTATACGTCGCCCCAGAATTTCTCAGTCCAAAATCCATCACCAAGTAACAGTACAGCCCCTCAGGAGTCATAAAACTCGTCTTCTCCACATCAGCCAGGTGCATCCGAATCTGATGGTAGCCACTGAAAGCGTCCATGAAGTTCATTAACTCTGATCCGGCAGTCTGGTCCACCATTTGGTCAATATTGGGGAGAGGAAACGGATCCATCGGGCATGCTTTGTTCAAATCCGTGTAGTCGACGCACATTCTCCACGAAGGAGGCTTAGGCGCCAGAACTACATTCGCCAACCAATCCGGGTAATGCACCTCCTGGATGTGTCCAATGCTTTGCAAGGTTGCTACCTCTTTCTTCACAAGTCTCTCCTTTCCTGCGACAAATGCCTTCGCTTCTGCTTCACCGGTTTAGCACCCCGCAATACATTGAGGTGATGGACTGCAATCTTGTGATCCAGCCCTGCCATATCAGCTGGACTCCATGCAAAGACCTTTCTGAACCTCCTAAGAACAGAGATTACCCGTGACCTGAGTTCAGTCCCCAGGCCCTTTCCAATTCTAACCAGCCTTCCCGGCGTGCCCGGCTCCAGTTCAACTTCCTCAATGTCACCTGCAACTTCTACTCTGGGACATTTCTCCTCGGCCCTTAAAAGCTGTGCAGTCACCTCCCCCACTTGGGTGTCGTAGTTGATAGGCTGTTTAGTTGCCTTCAAATACCACGCTCGGGACACTCTTTGGGATCCCCTGGCGATTCCAACTCCGTGGGGGGTTGGGAATTTTATGCATAGGTGTCGAGGTGAAATGACACACTCTAGATCTTCCAATCTGGGTCTGCCCAGGATGATGTTTGTATTGGAGATTATCCCCACTACGACGAACTCCATGTCCAACTTCCGGGTGGCCTTAGTATCCCCTATTTCGACCGGGAGAGTTATTACCCCCTCCGGTTCAATAGAGTCGCTAGTGAACCCGGTCAGCGGAGTCTTATAGTGTGACAACTCATCTCTAGTCAGTCCAAGAGCCTTGTAAGTGTCCATGTACATGATATTAACGGAACTTCCCGTATCCACCAAAGTCTTGTGGATCAACTAGTCCATTATATCAATCGTAATTACCAGGGCGTCCCTATGGGGGACCCCTGTTTCAGGCAAATCAGCATTAGAAAATACAATCGGTTTAGTTTTCAGTTTCTTACCTTCTGGAACCAGCACCTTGTGCGTTGGCCCACTTCTTCTGGCTCGTGGCCGAGTTTCCGCCAGTATTCCCTCCAATGATGAAGTTACACTCGTGGTGTTTCTTCTGGCGGTGTGGTGCGGGCTCAGAGTCCTCTTCTTCATCTTCTAGCCTGATGTGGCGTTTTTCCCGAGTCTCAGCCTGGGCCACTTCCTTATCTCTTCGCTTCCCATTCTGAGCGTTCCCGGGATTCCCCGCGTCACCGTCTTGTACAAACCTCTTCAGATGGCCCCGGCGGATTAGCCTCGCCATCTCATTCTTCAGGGTATAGCAGTCCTTTGTGTAGTGATCATTCTTGCGGTGGTAGGAACACCATTTTCCCGTGTCCTCCACATTGCAAACCTTCTGAGAATAGGTTGGATAAGTCATGAGTCCCTGTTGTGCAGCATGGGGCCATGATCTCAGCCACCGGCAACGTAAAGACTGGATGAGCAGATTTGTGCTTCTCCGAGGTCCTAGGGTTTATGCCCTTTGGGCCATCCGGGAAGCCCTGCTTTTTGTTCTTGAAGGCTTCTTGTTTCCCGCGTTTTCCTCTTCCTTGGGAGTCTTCTCTTTCTTCTCCTCCTTCCTTTCCTCCAGGGTCACATACCTTCCAGCCCGGACCATTGCTTCTTCAAAGGTATCCGGGGGATGAGTTGTAAGATCAGTATGAAGGAGACCATCTGGTAATGCCGTCGTGAACATGGCCAACCTGGATTTGTCGTCGGTTCCTTCTATCTCCCTGGACTCTTTTCTCCACCGGATTAGGAAATTTTTCAAGGATTCTCCGTGCTTCTGCCGCACTGAAGCCAACAGGTGAGTGAAATGCTTCTTGGGTCGGCAGTTCCCTGCGAAATGTTCTAGGAAACGCAAACCCAATTCATCCCATGTTCGGATCGATCCGGCAGGAATGTGATTCACCCAATCTACCACCTTACTATCCATCGTCTGCAAGAAGCATCGGCACATCAACGCATCGCTGGCATCAACGGCAATCATCACCTGGACGTAGCTGTTTATGTGTTCTTGGGGATCCGACTCCCCATCATAACGCTTAACGAACGGCATCTTGAATCCCTGCGGATAATGTTCCGCAAAGATCTCCGGGGCAAGGGGAGTATTCGTCCGGGTAGTGAATACTCGTCCCATGTTTATCTTCCTCTGCATCTCCTGGATCTGTTGCCTCAGATCCTGGAATTTGCCAGCCTCCAGAACTTGCGGCCCCAGGCGCTGCGGTGCTGGGACCCTAACTTGGCTCTGAACTTCGTCCTCGTCTAGGACCACCACTGACCTCATCGGCGCTTGGCTCCCACCGCGGCCGATTCGCTGCCGCTGTTCGCGATTAGAGGATGCCACCAGGGTGGCTTAGGGTCGCACCCAACCCTGGGGTGCTTTGTCCGGATTCTTCCCCAGCCTCTCACTGACGTGAGCCCTCTGGTGAAGTATCCTTTCAAAAACAGTTCCCCGTGGGTTTTCGTTTCCGTTGCCAACGACTTGACTCACAGCCCTGGCTCGATCTCCATTCGCCCTACTGTTCCGGGCCAATTCCTCCGCCCGGCGCCTAGCGATGGCCCATCTTTCCCTCTCGACCTCCTCCGGATCATGAAGCTCCTGGAGGATGGGAGAACTGGCAGTACGCAAGACCTGGCGGGGTTGCCCGGCAGGGACTTCCCGGGTTCTGGATGGACCAGGGAGAGCCTTGTCTAACCGTTCCATAATATTGGCAATCATGTTAGCCACATTATTCAACGCCGTTTCCAACCCATTGACAGGAACGATCATACCCTGTTCAGGGTGGTCACTCCTCACAGTCGACTGAGCAGAAGCAGCGGTGTTACGTCTCGTCCTTCGTCCGGCCATAATCTCACAGCCTTATCTCACAGTTAGCTCTCAATGGAAGCACCAATGATGGGATTAACCCGATCAGATGACGGACCAAGAACGTAATATGAATTAGAAAGATATGATCTCGTAATGATATTCTTTTGATTAAGTATAGAATTGCTTGGGTTCGTCCCCTTACAATGGCGGGTTCTTTCCCCTTTTATAGTACCTCTAATATTGTAATTAAAATTATACATAATGGGAGGAATTATGGAGATCATGGGATTGTGATTCCCTCTTTTCCGGTCTCGTTCTCTTCCCATCTCGTCCACAATCTGGTGGTGTGGGCCACGTGTCCTGTTCCTTCTTTGGGCTGGGTCATCTTAATTCAGCCCATGATTGGGCCGTCTTTCCTTATTCGCCACACACGTGTAATTGAAGAGCAACAACTGTGCCACAAAAAAAAATCACCCCTAAAATAGCCCCAACTAATTCAATGATGCACAAAAAAATCAAATACCGCTGCAGATCTTCGGAAAACCTCTACAACACAAGAATCGGGCGACGACAAAGGCAATTTTTGGACTGGTGGCCAGAGGCAGAGGTGTTGCAATCCGGATTTTTTTTGGTTTTTTTATTGGGTGAGTTCTCTCAATGAGAGCATCAATTGATACGAATATCATATCGGATAGAGAAGAACTTCGAGCGTCTTCGGGCTCCAAGAAAGGGGAGGCAAAGAGAGAAGGAAAACTTCGAGCGTTTCCGAGCTCCAAGAAAAGAGAGACGAGAGAATAAGAGAATTCTTGATTATTGATTCCTTGAATAATAATAACGAAGGGTTACAATATATATAGAACGAAGATAAGCCTAATTGACCTAATGGGCTCGGGCCCATACTAAAACCCTAAACCATCCATAAATAATACTCCCTCTGTCCCCCATAGATCTTCCCAATAGCCTTTTTTCTTTGTCCACAATAGATCTTCTCATTTCATTTTTTAACAAGTAAAATACCACAACTACCCCCACTTACTTTATTTATTACACCTCACCCACCTCATTTAATACACTCCACCCATTTTTCATTAAGGGTATTATGGTAAACATTCACCTTTTTTCAACTCTCCTTAAAAATCACCAAAAGTCAAAATGAGAGCATCTTAGGGGGACGGAGGGAGTAATAAGTAACTACTAAATAATAATATAACTAATTAAAATATTCTAATTAACTATATGTATCATTCTCATATAAAAGAAATTCTTATTTTGAGTATAGATGTTATATTCACTCCTATTTTGGGTGATTTCAAATTACTTATTAATTTATATCTCTTCCAAGAAAACTCTCATATTAAAAATAAATATTTTGGTAAACTATTTTTAGTTATAATTTTTACTTTTTATATACAAACTACGATCATATACTTTTCATATTTCTTACTACTTTCATCCATGAGTATTGGTCCACTTTTGAGTTTTTTTTCAAAATCGGCAATCTTTGACCACAAATTAAAAAAAATTTATATTAGACATTGATGCAAAAATAAATTTATTGGATTTATTTCATAAAATATTTTAAAATATTCTTTTATTTAATAAATATACCATATACTCCATATACCAGGTCAAATGTTGAAAACGGTTGACTGCAAAAAGTCAAAGTTGGACAAAATACTCAAAGACGGATGTAGTACTTTCAATATTAAAAATGGTTTTAAAAAAAGTAAATTCTCCAAATAGTCATTTATAACAGGAGAACTTCTATATTTAGTCCATATTATCAAATATTTTTTCGTGGTCCTTATTGACTGGGTACCAATCCACGTTTGGTCCTTGTCTAATGGCACGGAGACAGAAAAATAGACAGAGGACTAAACGTGGAATGTTACCCAATTAATAAAGACTGTCAACATAATATTTGATAAATGTGGACTAAATATGGAAACCCCCCATTTATAAAGGACTATTTAAAGAATTACTCTTTATTTTAATTAAATATTTTTTTATTTAATGTAATTTTTTTATTTAATGAATTATTATCATTTAAATTTAACTAATTAATGAAATCTTATTAATTTACTTTTATTAAGTGTATATTAAAAATAAGAAAAGGTTTGGAGCCTTAGTTTCGAACCGTGGAGTTCAAATCCATTTCCAATGAAGTTCTGATGTAAATCAAAGAAGGATTAAAGCTGATTTGAGAGAAAAAATAGTTGAGACCCAAGTTTAAAGCTCCAGACTTTATCTGTATTTCGAGTGCTTTAAGACCACAGTAGCCCCATTCATAAACTGCACAATTTTCCTTAATTTATCACTAACCAACAACGCTAGGGACTTGATCAGATCTGAGTGTCTTAAGTGCTAACGTGAGGCAAGGTGACGTGTATCTAGCCGTTACACTTCCAAGTTCCAACCCATTTCAAGTGAGAGAGAGAGAAAAAAAACAAATATTTAAAAAAAAAAAAAAAGACATCAGAATTGTTTCAAGAAAAGGAAAAAGAAATCACTCAAACAGATTTCAATTTAACACTTGACCGTTGGTCCGCTCTTCTTCCGTATCGTCCAAACGTATTTCCATTGTTCAGTGGTCTAAAATTCTCTGCGACCGGAAGCTAAGCACACTTCAATGGCTGCGGGCAATCTTGTTTTCACCGCGGATGAGACGGCTGTGGACGATGGCCTCGGCTACCCCAAAGCCTTTGCTAAGCTGTGTAAAGAAAGGAGCTTTAGCCCTTACATCCATGCCCCTCCTTTCACTTTTGTTCCTTATGCCCTTCCTCACCAAGAGGTATTCCTTCTTTATTTTTTATTTCTGTTTTTATTAAATCTGGAATTACTATTTCTGTGGAATCTTGAGATTTGGAATTGTTTTATAGGTTTTGAGAGTAAAGGAATTCGATGAGATGTTTCCCGTTATTGATCCGAACGCGAAACCCACCGCGAAAGCCAAGATTTTTGTCAATCTCTTATGGAAGCAACTCAACCACCTTGGGTACCTCCAAGATTGAATTTTTACTCTAGTTTAAGTATTTTTTTTCATGGGTGTTTATAATTCTGAGATTTATATTAACTAAATAGGGTTTACTGCAAATTTCCAGGAATGCAGGCTTTGATCCTGAAATATTCCGTGTAGATCCATATGGAAATGTGTTGTATTATCATGCTGATTCAGCCTCTCCTCTAGCATGGAATATTGATCATTGGTTTCCTTGCTCCAGTAATAACTTTTTGAAATCTATGCTTCTGAAGTTTGTCATTATTTCATCAATTGTCTTAGTTTTTGTGAGTTTATGGATTTTCTTTGATTTTTAACAAAATTATGCAGGAGGGGGTTTAACTGTTCCGAGTAATCTAAGAATTTTACAGTGGCAAGTGTGCAAGAAAAAGCAAAACCAGTTAGAATTCCTCATGCCTTGGTGGGATCTCCAAGTTGGTTTGTCCATAAATCAGTTTTTATCCATCTTTGCTTCAACAAATTCAGATTTCAGGTAACTTAATGTTGTGTTATATAGAGAGGTTAGAAAGTGCATAGGAAATCTGGGTTGATTGGTCCCCAAATTTTATTATTGCTTTTTCAGGCATAGGGCATTTTCTTGGCTGTTTTCGGAAGCCGAAAATCAAGAATTGAATGACACTCAAACAGTAGATTCCCATGTCTTCCCTCAGCATTTCAATGAATCAAAAAGAAAGATTGGCCTTTCTCCAGCAGCTGTTGTTCTCAATAGAAGGGAATCTTATGGTTCAGTTCTCAATTCTTTGGACATAAACAGAAGGCCAAGATCAAGCACCCCTATAATTAGTAAGTTCTTTTAAGACTTTGGAGTAATTATAATGGAATGAACCACTTACTCATTTATAATTGTAATATATGCTTATTTGCAGCTTCCAAGAAACTCAAAGAGAATGGGGAGCCTGACAACACGGCAAGCAGCAACCCGTACCAGGCAATTGTGATCGCCAGAGATTCTTTGAAGCACCGCGAAGAAGCTGTGAAAATGAAGGCAGAAATAAAGAGGTTGGATGAAGAAGTGAGTGAGTTGAAACAAAAGGGTGAGGAGGAGAAAGTGAACATCCAAGATTTGGAGCTGATCCTCATTAAGAAAAGGCGGCATGCTGAGAAATGCCGCAAGCTCGCTGAGGCTCAGTCCTCCCACAGATCAATGCTGGAGAAGATGATTCGAGATGCCATGCATCAGTAATCAATTTGGCCTCTTTTGTTTTTCTTGATGGATTGATTTTTCTTGTGGTTGGACTTTGTTTTTTACTCTTTGATCTCTGTGTTGCAGGAGTGTTGTGTATAAAGAACAAGTGAGATTGAATCTAGCAGCAAGTAATGCACTCATGGCAAGGCTTGAAGCTCAGAGAGCAATCTGTGATTCTGCAGAGAAAGAACTGTACCTGAAATTCAAGCAGAGAGATGAGTTAGAACAGCAAATAAGACCCGAAAATGAGCAGAAAAGAAAGAGATCAAGAATGGATCTCCTGCTCTCACAGGATCATGCTCCTCAACAAGTTGATTACGCTGATGCTGGAAAGCTGGTTCTACATTCTCCAGATAGGATTGAGTCGAACCATCAAAGCCATTATAAGCAATTAAGATTCTTGGAGGAAGATCACAAACCATCAGCAGCCATTCAAGAAGAAGAGAAAGAAGCCGCGAACGACAATGTTCCAGCAAAGCTCCAAGAGGAGGAGATGGGAGTCAGTCTAAAGTTTCCAGTTTGTCGCGGGTTGGGAACAGAAGAAGACGAAGATAGTCGAAAGCAGCGCGGGAAAGGCAATGTCGAAAAATGGCTTCAAATTCTCTTGGAAAACACAGATGAATCCTCCACTTCTCCTTCTCCTGGTAAGGATAAAAAGGGAATAATTGAGATGATCAACTCCAAATACCCTCACAAAGAAATCAACATTCCAAGTGTTCTAGAATCAGCAGATGCAGAAGCTGTCATTGAAGACGAAACCAATGCAGAGGAAGAAAACAAGAACAACACTCCCTTGTTGAATCCTCATCCTCCTCCACCATACACAAAGATCTTCCACCCAAGAAAAAGCAATGCAAGTGTGGATGATGATGATGGCAAAGAAGTTAAAGATTGTTCGGATGGGTTTGATGGAAAGGAGGCCGGCATAACAAAGGAGAAGGATAATCAGGAAAGGAAATTGAGCAGGTCGGAAAGTGCCAGGGGGTTTAGGCGCATTCCGTCCTCCCCATCTCTGATCTTTAGTGGCATGAAGAAGAGAGTCGATTGCATGAGAAAGAAGCAGCCATTGTTGAGGGGTGGAGGTGATGAAGATGAGGGGGTTGGCCTAGTCAACAAGAACAGCTTTATTAAATCATCCTTCAAAACCATTGTGAAAGCAATGAAGGCATAATAAGAGCATTTCCCTCTCTCACACCCATCCACCAAACGCACCCCACACCCAAAAATCTGAAGTACGCATCTGTTTCACACAATGTGTGATTCAAATTTTCGGGCGTAGTGTGAGTTTGGATGAGTGAGATTTGTACAAATGGCATTCCCCTATTAAGATTCATTCTTTTGTATTGATTTTTGTGTAAGTTTGGAGTAAAGTAGTATTGTTTGTGGATGTGTCCAATAATAAAATACCCATCTCCTTTTTGTATTGATTGCAGTTATACCATCCTGAACGAACCCCATTGCCAATGCCCATTGGAGAGGAACACAGCTAACTTTGAGGGTTGAAATGGATTTTTCAAATGCCCAACTAAACATAGGAGCCCTGCTAAGATAATAATCAAGAAATAAAGTGTTCCAATTATATTTTCTTATAGAATAAATTCTACAAATGGTCTTTAATAATATGTGATTTTTCATATTTAGTCCTCAACTCTACATTAGATAAATGATTTCGAATTTTTAACAATTACTACCTCCGTTACTTTTCACACGATCAAACTTTAATCACTTTCTTTACCTATTTTAATTAGATATTTGATAAAATAATATAGTCTTGTCGCCACTTGTTTTGTAGAACTTTTGATGTAGCTTTTAAATATATAAATTTTATTTTTTAATTTTACACCTACAATTAAATAAATTGAATTGAAAGTCGGTCAAACCTCGTAAACACAAACAGGAAGAACATTATAGGACGGAGGGAGTATTTCATAAGTCGTCTTATAGATCATATGTGGCTAAATATTTTTTCGATATATAATCTCTGAAAGAATGATAATGGACTAATTTTAAAAAATTGAGGGCTATTTATATAATGTCTTAGAATTAGAGACTAAAAAGTATGAAAATTTGCATATAATTAGAGACCATTTATAGAATTAGTTTTTTTAAATGAAGGTTTTACCTAGGCTTTGTTTAGAACTATAGAGTAATGACCATAGGCGCAAGCCTTAGAGAAAGATAGATTTAATACTAAAGTTGGAAGACGAGATTACCAAAAATGGCACAAAAGTAGCAAACAAACAGCCATTGGGTAATATGATTAATTTAAATTATGAAACAACGATTAAATATTTAAATTGACTTGGAAAATGGTCTTTCAAAATATGAACTATGAAGTGGGAAGCATAATATATTTTGAGTTGGAAACGATTTATGACCAGACTGTAAAATGAAGCTACACAAAGTAGAACTCGAATAAACTCCCATAATAATTAATAACCTAAAGATCTCTAAGAAGATCACATAAATTCAAAACAAAAACAAAAAAAACGAGCTCATAATACTCCAAAAAAGTAGAGGCTTAAACCATCCACCATTTAATGCTACAGATTATTTTTACCCATAAAACAAATTTCCTATAATAATAATAATAAAAGAACAATAGTTTAAATCTCCAAAATGGGCAAAAACCAAAACCCATTGCATTATTTCCTACCTTCTTCAAAGTTCAAACCAACATACTATAAGAGACCTACAATCACACCCTCTGGGAGGACGGCTCTGAAGAAGCAGCACTAGCTGAGTCACCTCCAAGGGAGTTCGGTGACGGGCCGTTCAATGAAGAGGTGACGCCGGCGGGGAGGGAACCATTTCCTTGTTTGGCGGCGGGGATTCCGGAACCTTCTGCCCTCTCCATCTCCTTCTCGAGCTCTTCTTCTCGCCGCAATGCGGTGAACTGCCCGTCCAAAGACTTGGCTGCCGAAAGCCACGCGAGAACGATGACAAGGAGGACACCTCCGAGGTAAGGGGTCGAGTTGGCAAGCGAGCCGAAGGTCAGTATCATGAATTGCTGTATCAGAGCTCCCCCTGATTTCCCCAGTGGATTGCAAACCACGTCGATCGCCGCTTTGCCTTTCACCTGATGTCAAACCCATTTACAAGCAGCACTGATTTATATCTGATTTATAGCTCAATGGGGTTCTAGAGCCACTCACTTTAAATGGCTAGGCTCAAATTGGATCACCTGTAGTGCTCCATTCAAAAAAGTGATGGTTCCCCTAACCCCCGGTAAACTCCCCACCCTGATTCGACCTGAATGCACCCCACCACCCCCTTCATATCCACCCCTCAATTCAAGTTAACTTTGAGATAATAAAAAATTGACCCCAAAGTCAAATAAATGTAGGGGGTGGCGGGGTGAATTGGGGTCGGACCGGGGTGGGGGGCTTATCGGGAGGTAGGGACCATCAATTTTGCAAACAAAACACCGTAGGTGCCTAAAAAGGAAGTGGCACCGCAGTGTCATCCGGAGCCAATGGTTCTAGAACCGTTCTGATGATTTCTAATGTTCGGAATGACAAGGTTTTACACAACCTATACCATCAAACACACGCACGCAGAGTACACACAGATTATACAGTATAATTAATATCACTATGTGCATTCCATGAATTCAATATTTTAATGTATCCAAGGAGAAAAGAGGTGTATGGGCAATGCACCTTGGTGTCCTCGTCCAAAGGAATGTACGCCATTTCCTTGCAAGGATCGAATAAGCTGTATTTCGCACTCTTACTGAAGATGTTCTGCATTGCACCCACATAAACAGCCGCTAGAAGAGGAGTCATCCCAAACTTGGCAAGTGCAGGTACGAGCGGCCCACCAAACAGAATGAGAGAGAAGAAACCAAATCCCGTGAGGAGCAAGACTGTGGGGGTTATCTTTGCCGCTACTCCCCACCCATACTTGTCAAACACCCATTGGCTTAACAACATCATCGTAAAAGTTGCGATGCCAGTTGCAGTTGAGAAATCACCCATGAAAGACGAATACTCGTTGGGGCTCGGGAACTGCAATTATAATAATAATAATTAATAATACGTGCATGAAAAAAAATGGGGGAAAAAATTGGGAAAAATATTTGCTTTACGGGTACGAGAAACAATGACACCAATCAAAAGTTAGTCTTTCAAAGGTTATTTTTCTTGCCTGAGCTTTGAGCTTGGATTTCCATGTAACTTCAACAAGGTTGATGCTAATGCCATATGCAACCACCAATGTGGCAAGATCCCTAATGTATTTTGAAGACACCAAGAACTTCAAACTCTCCATTGTTCCCATCTTCGGCTTGTCCTGCAAAAAAAAAACAAAAAGAATTACGTCATGATGAGTAAAAACATCAGAGTTTGATCCTCTACTGCAAAGAGTTCTAGGTTCAATAAACTCACCTTCTTCTTGAGACTACGAGAGGGAAGAGAAACATTATGGTTGACCCACCAATAAATAGAACATATGGCGAGCCCCATCACAACCACGATACTCATCATTCCTCTCAAAGAGAGGGCCCAACCATCCACTCCAGGACCCAAACTTTTTCTCAAATTAGAGAAGTACTTCACTGTACGGCCGGAGAAAATAAGAGCAACATTTGCACCGAGTCCAAACAAAGGATAGAATTTCTTAGCCTCATCAACTGTTGTTATCTGGAACAAAGTTGCCATAACCGGCAAACGGAACTTATTTTTCATGTAAATTCCAATAAAACAAGTATAATATGGTAACTTCAGTCAACCAACACATAAACTGGACAATAAACTTGGGCCAATCAATACAGAATGACAATAACCAGCAACCAACCTCCAAATAATGTCACACAAAAAACTGACAGTTCAAAAACTTTACTACTTAAAGATATCATGCATCAAAGGGCACAAGAAAAAGTGAGGTGATTACATTAAGTAGTGGCTGCAGAATCCACCACACCAATCTAATGGCAATGGGGAGTGTTTTTATAAATAAAAAGGAAATCTACTTATTGTTTACTTTAAGCAGCTTTAACAATGTTGGTGTTTGGTAATGGAAAAAAATGGTATAAATAAACACATTTGAAGTCATTTAGACAGTTAAACCTCACAGGCCAAAAGCAAGCGGCGATCTACTGCTTATTGCTTTTGAATACTTGTGTTTTTTTTTGAAAACACGACCACAACCAACACCTTAATCTAATAAGATTGCAAGCCTCACAACAACGTTTAGCAGCATTAGATCTACACCAACTGCATAAAACTGTATCATCCCAAAGAGCCCAAGCATCATAGGAGACCAAGAATTGATCAATTGACTTTGTACTCAACAATGCACCTGGTATAGATCATTGATCCAAAGCCAAATTTGTTATTTACTAAAATCCTATGTAAATATAAGGCTATACCTGATTAGCAAAACCCCAAAAAAGGACCGAGACCACCACACTTCCCCAAAGCTCAGCCATGACATAGAACAAGCAAAAACTCCAGATCCTCAAAATTGCTATCGGCCCGAGGAACCTTGGACCCAGAATGTTCAGAAGCTTGTCTGCAAGAGCTGTGGGGTGAAAGTAATTGCTGAGGGGATACAAGACGAATCCGAATGCCCCAAAGAAAGCAATGAAAGGCAAAATGACTGTGTAGAAAAGAGCCTGCTTGGACAGCACATTCGCCAACTTTGTGTACAGAAGCATGAACCCTATGGCCATGGGCAAATTCACCCATGTTTTCAAGAAGGGAATGATCTCGGCGCTGGACCCTTTCGCCGTCACCACCAACACATCCTTGGTGTCTCTCAGGATAGTGTAATTGAACAGAATGCAAAAGAACATCAACCCAAGAGGAACGATCTTCTTGAGAGTGGCCACCTCAACCCCCATAAACTTAGGCGGCTCTGACGCATCTTCTTCACCCAGCACGGGTTGCCCGTCAGCTGAGGCTGCTGCTGCTGCAGCATCGGCTCTGCAGATTGGGGAATCTCTCCTCTTTTGAGCAACCAGTGATGGTTTCAAGACAAAACCCTGAAATTTCGGAGACCCATTGACTGATAAAGAAAGCCCAGCAAGAGGGGTCGCTTTCACGGCATTTGCACCACTGAATCTGAATCTTGCCCCACCCTGAGGCAGTGGGTAAAAAGTTCTGGTCTTGGATTTTGAAGGAAGAGATAAAATCCCTCTGCTTTGCAGGACGGCATCCATGTTCCCGCGCTCACCACTCCGCGACTTTCTCTCTGCCCGTCTCTCTCGCAAACGCTCGGGAATCTCAAAGATTGGATCTTTGAGGGAGACGTAACGCGGGAGGAAAAAGAAGAGGCGAGGGAAAACGTTGCAGATCCGGAAGATTGAGGGGGTACTCCGGGGAATTGAAGATTACATATATGCACACAAATTTAAATACAAAATCCTCAGTGGCTCCCCCCAAGTAACCATGCCCTGCAAACCCAGCTCCGTTGGGACTTGGCAGAGAAGAGAGCGGAATCAACTACAAAAATCAAAATTAGGAGAAAAAACAAAAGTAAAAATAGAATGATAGAAAACCAGATTGTTGCTTTTACAAGCGTAAACTTTTGCTAGTAAGACTTACGAGTGTAGAACTTGACATGGTCTTTAATGTTTTGAAAACTGGAAGTCGAATCAGATAAGCTATTGGGTCAAGACTCAAGAGTGAATCGGTTGAGCTGTATTGACTCGGGTCAACGAACCGGTCAACGACTCATGACTTGGAATATAATATTCATATTTATGTTTAGATAATAAAAAATTACGAGTAAATAACACTATATTTTGTAGAAGTGTGCACCGGTCCAAAACCAGACCGGACCAGAACCAGAATGGACCGGAATCGAAATCCTATATTTGCAAGGACCGAAGACCGGACCTGTTAGATACTGGTCTGAACCGGTCCGGACCTGAATTTTCCGGTCCAATCCGGGTTTACCCTATTATGGACCGGATTTTAAACATAAATGACCTAATTTCATTATAAAAAGTTCATATCTAAATTCTATTGGTGTGTGTGTGTGTGTGTGTGTATATATATATATAGGGATTGACTCCAGTGAGATGACACCTTATGGTGCGATGACATGCTTCGGTCAGATGACACAAAGCTCACCACTGCCCACTGCAAAGCTCACCAAACTGTAAGGCAAAGCTCACCATATTTTTTTCAACACTTTGAATTTTTTTTGAAAAAATAAAATCAAAGGAAGGGGTGCTGACTAGACTTTGACCGTTGACTCCAGAATTGACCGCCGCCTGCCGCCGCCTGTCGCCGGGCGCCGGTCGCCGCCGCCACCTCCGATCTCCGGTCGGCGCCGCCGCCGCCACCGCCGCTGCCATACTCCGGTCGCCGGCCACCGCCGGTCACCGCCGCCTGCGCCTGCCGTTGACCGGTGGTTGACCGGTGTTGCTATTTTATTTTTAATTAGTTTTTTAATTTTCAAAATTAAAAAAAAGGTGAGTTTTGGGGTTCAAAGGGGTTAACTTTGCTTTATTTCCAGGTGAGCTTTGCGTCATCTGACCGAAGCATGTCATCGCACCGTAAGGTGTCATCTCACTAGAGTCAATCCCATATATATACATACATACATACATACATATATATATATATATATATATATATATACATATATATATATTATACCATCAATCCCCAAATTCATAACAATAACAATTCACTAAGGAGGCAATTGTTAAATTCATAAGTTCATAACACTACAAAATCCATGAAAAAATCTCAAACCAAAGTTCAAACTTCAAACTTCAAAGAAAAATATTAATAAAAAATACTTAAAATAAAAATTGAAATTAAGTAACATATCATGCTATGAGCCAAAGAAAACTCAAAAAAGAAGAAATTTGAAAGGATAATGGTCTAATGAATTAACTATTGGGCTTTAGGCTATTACATTATGGGCTTGGATTTATTAGATTATTTAAAAAAATACTCCCTCCGTCCCCCTATATTTGTCCACTTTCATTTTTGCACACCATCCAATGCACTTCTTTAATCTATTTTATCTTGTAATTTGTATATTAAAAAATTATAAAAATTATATATTAATAATCTATATGTTAAGACAAATCAAACAAGATCACACATGACTATATTTAGGCTTACACATTGAGAGAATTTGATGAGTCAAAGTGCTTAGATGAACAGTTCCAAAAGTCAAATGTGGACAAATACAGGGGGACGGAGGGAGTAATATTTTATTATATACCGGTCTGGACCGGATAATTCCGGGTTTAGACCGGACTAGACTGGAATTCTAAATTTTTAAAGACCAAAGACCGGACCTGAAAATACCAGACCGGTCTGGACCGGTCCATTCCGGTCCGGTTCAGGTCTAAATTCCGGTCTGGACCTATTAATGCACAGCCCTAATGTTTTGTGGACTATTTTTAAAGATAATAAAATATTATCACATAACTTAAATACCTATTATTTCTAGATAATACAAAGCACATACTCCCTCCATCTAACTTTAATCTTTTCATTTGAACTGGACACACGTATTAAGGAAAAGATGTAAATGTCATTTTGAATGTTAAATAAAATACTTAATATTGTATTTTTTTTCTTCTCCATATTATTTTCAATGTCAATGTTCATATACTCCTTCACACTTTCAATATTTTATTATAATTAGTATATATTTCTTCATTTTATAGATGATAATATTTGTTTAGATGTAAATTATTCATTATTATTTAATACAAAAAATAATATTTATTTTTTACTTTGAAATATTTTAAAATATTATAAAATAACTACATAACACAAACATGTTCTTTCTTACAAATAGTTAGAAGTTTTTTAAATTTGATCCCTCAACACAAATAAGAAACACTATACTATTCTACATGATTTTGGTAACAAGTGTTTAGTAGCTTAAGTGGTTAGAGTCTTAGAGAGTTGAATGGTGATGTTTAGTGTTTGAATCCTATCTCCATCATTTTATTTTATAGACAAAAGAACTTTCTGACCAACCCACGGGTCTGTCAGGTTGACCCGGTCCACCAGTTCTAATGAGTCTACCGGGCTTGGGTGGGTCGATGCATATCCGGTTTTTACAATTGAATCAGACCGGAGTGCTCACCAGTTCGCGGTCCAACTGGTTGGACTGGTCGGTCCGGTCCAGTTCTAATAACATTAGTTTAGATTAGACTTCATGAGTCAAGTTCTGAGTTCTGGGAATATGATATGATATAGATTTAAAATTTGAAAGAAATAAATTGAATTTTGAAATCTAAAATAAAATTGTTTGGAGAAATTTAAAATCATGGCAATGTGTCAGCAGAACGAAGGGATGCCCTTCCTCTGAGGAATGTTACCCTTCGCCCTACCAGGCGCCGAACCATTACCACTGCAAACCCCGTTGCAGTGTCTCCCTTTCAGACACCAGTTCCCCAGCCATCGCCTTTACAACCACAGGTGGTAAGCGCCATGGCCCCTGTCAATCTGACCAGTGCGCTTAATGTGGCAGGGCGACCTCGCACCTCCACCGAGTGCACGCCATCCTCAGAGTACCCCGGAGGGTCATTGCATCTCAATTGAGAGCGATGACGAAGAGTGGACATCCCCAGAGCCCACATGAAGAAGAAAGGCAAGACCTAAAGGCCGGCTACCTCTCGTGACCCCGCCTTTGAAAGGCTGGGGGAAAGAGAGTAGTGCCAACGGAAGTTTGCAAAACTGAGGTTGGGACAAAGCGCGACACATGTTAGTGCATTTGTCTGGTTAGGCGAGGGGAAGGAGGCCGAGCCTACCCGTACCCATTGTACCTGGTCAAATTGGCTGGAACCCCCTAAATCCAGGATTTCACGCAGTGAGGAAGAAGCGGAAAGCCAATCGCTCGAACCGGTGAGAAGCAGGTTAGGAAACCCGGGGGACCGGGTCCAACGAATGGAAGCAAATATGGAGATGCTACAAAGAAGGGTGGAGGAGAAGAATGAGAGGGAGAAACCTCTTTCGGATTCTCCCTTCACTGCGAGGGTCCACCTAACACCTTTTCCCCGAAAGGTAAAGGTAGAAGCACCGAAGTTCACACGGAAGGAGGCTCCCAAGATTCACTTGGACTCCTTCAACTAGAATGCAATCATGATGGGGTGCACCGGTGAGGAGAAATGCCTCCTTTTCTTCCAGACCCTGCAAGGTAGAGCCACGGAATGGTTCAATAAACACCCCCGAAAGGTATTGACTCATTTAATGAATTGGCCTCAAAATTCAAGGCCAAGTTCCAAGAGAATTGCACGAAGAGGAAGAAGTTCACCTATCTGAGTACAGCCGGGCACAGGAAGTCTGAGAACCTCACTCAGTTCCTCACCTAGTGGAAGGATGTTGTGGACAAAGTCGAAGAGATGGATGACAAGACGATCTTGTCTCTCTTGCTTAATGGCCTGCGTGCCGGGGAACTATACAAAGAGTTCTGCGGGAGGCCCCTGGCCACGTATCAAGAGGCTTACCATACAACCCGGGAATTCGTCAAAGCCGAAACCTAGGACTGGGCAAAGAAGGAAGCTGAGCACGGTCACAAGCCCAAGCCGGTGTAGGTGAAAAAGGAAGACGCTCTCGGGTCCAACAAGCCCATACACCACTATGACCTGGTCATACATCTGGTAAAGTCAGAGGAATGCCACGAAGTCATGAAAGCACTGGTCAATCTTGGAGGGAACTTGGGATGCCAATGGTCGGACAAAAATTGTTCGTACCATAAGTCTGATTCCCAGAATACTTCTGAATGCAAAAGTGTCAAAGGAGTTGTCCGGCAAATGATTGACCGTGGAGAGATGGGTAAGGAATACCTGCAAAAGGCGCAGGAGAAGAACCATCAGTGGGTGAGGCCCGAAGCTCAGAGACGACCGGGACAAAGACTGGAGGAGAAATGACCGGAATAAAGAACGGAGGCCAGCTCTAGACAAAGAACACATCAAGATGATCTTTGGTGGACAGGAGCGTGGAGACTCCGCTGCTCGAAGGAAAAACTGGGTCCGAAGCATCTAAGTGGGAGAGGTAAGCGCAGACCCGGTCAGAAGAAAACAAAAGAGAGAACTGATCGTCTTCACTGACCGGGATCTCCCTTCCATTGGTCATCACTACGGATATCAATGGGGTAGACGTCTCCCGGGTATTGATTGACACAGGCATTAGTGTCAACATACTGTACCTGGAAACTTTTCAGAAGCTCAGGTTGTGTCGGACACAACTTGAACCTTTGAAAACTCCCCTTTCAGACTTCGCGGGAGATATAGTTGAAGCAGAAGGATCAATTGTCCTATCAGTCGAACTAGGCACGAGGGACAAAACTGTATGGAAAAAAATGCGGTTTATTGTTGTGTACATCAAATGTGTCCATAACGCTATTCTTGGGAAACCGAGCATTAGCCAAGTCCGGGCGGTGATCTCCATGCCCCACCAATACATGAAATTCTACACTCCGGGTGGTGTGGGCGAAGTTCGGGGAGATCAGAGGAACGTTTGGGAATGTTACGCCCAGGCAGTTAAAAAGATGACAAAAGGCGTCAATGTCATCTCACAGGAGATA